AAATTAGGGTATGGAGAGAACATTTTTGGACATTTTTCTGTTTAAAACATTTTGTCAAAATGTTAGTTTTTCATGTCGCTTTTGGTCAAAAACTAAAAAATTTTGATGAAAATGTTTTGTAATTTTTTTTTCAAAATTGTATCTTTGGTTGAATGTTTCTCATAAAATTAGTGCACGTAGAAAACATTTTTACAAATTCTTCTGTTTAAAACTTTTTTCCAAATGTCAGTTTTTCATGTCGTTTATGGTCAAAAACTAAGACATTTTGACAAAAACGTTTTGTAAAATTATTTTTCAAAACTGTATCTTTGTTTGCATATTTCTCATAAAATTAGTACTTTTAGAAAACATTTTAAGAATTTTTTCTGTTTAAAACATTTTGTCAAAAGGTCAGTTTTTTATGTCGTTTTTGGTCAAAAACTAAGAAAGTTTGATGAAAGCTTTTTGTAAAATTATTTTTCAAAATTGTATCTTTGCCTGCATTTAACTCAAAAAATTAGTACAAGTAGAAACTTTTTGGTCAAAAACTAAGAACTTTTGACAAAAAAGTTTTGAAAAACTATTTTTCAAAACTGTATCTTTGCCTGCATGTTTTTCTTAAAAATTGTGCACGTAGAAAACATTTTTACAAATTCTTCTGTTTAAAACTTTTTTCCAAATGTCAGTTTTTCATGTCGTTTATGGTCAAAAACTAAGACATTTTGACAAAAAAGTTTTGTAAAATTATTTTTCAAAACTGTATCTTTGTTTGCATATTTCTCATAAAATTAGTACTTTTAGAAAACATTTTTAGAACTTTTTCTGTTTAAAACATTTTGTCAGAAGGTCAGTTTTTTATGTCGTTTTTGGTCAAAAACTAAGAAATTTTGACAAAAACGTTTTGTAAAATTATTTTTCAAAATTGTATCTTTGCTTGCATGTTTCTCATAAAATGAGTACACGTAGAAATCTTTTCTAGAAATTGTTCTGTTTAAAATTTTTTGTCAAAGTGTTAGTTTTTCATGTTGTTTTTGATCATAAACTAAAAAATATTTGACAAAACGGTTTGTAAAAATGTTTTTCAAAATTGTATCTTTGCTTGCATGTTTCTCATAAAATGAGTACACGTAGAAATCTTTTTTAGAAATTGTTCTGTTTAAAATTTTTTGTCAAAATGTTAGTTTTTCATGTTGTTTTTGATCATAAACTAAAAAATATTTGACAAAACGGTTTGTAAAAATGTTTTTCAAAATTGTATCTTTACTTGCATGTTTTTCATAAACTTCGGGGATTTAGAGAATATTTTTACATTTTTTTCTGTATAAAATTGTCAAAATTTAAATTGTTAATGTCATTTTTGGTAAAAAACTAAAAAATATTTGACGAAATGTTTGGTAAAATTATTTTTCAAAATTGTATCTTTGCTGGCATGTTCCTCATAACATTAGGACTTGTAGAGAACATTTTTACAAATATTTCTGTTTAAAATTTTTTGTCAAAACGTCAGTTTTTTATGTCATTTTTGGTCAAAAACTAAGACATTTTGATGAAAAAGTTTTTGTAAAATTATTTCTCAAAAATGTATCTTTGCTTGCATGTTTTTCATGACTTCAGGCCATAGAGAAAGTTTTTTAAGAAATATTTTTTTATAAAGTTTTACTAAACATTTTTGATGAAATTTTTTTAATGAAATTTTTTATTTCAGAGTTTTTTATAAAATTTCAAATTTCGGGTATCATGTGGTCAGAAGGTAAAAAAGTTTTATGAAAATGTTTGAATTTTTTTCAAAATTATTACTTTTCTTTATGTTTCTCATCAAATTAAAGCATTTTTAAAAATTGTTTGGGACTTTTTTTTCGGATTTGTTTTATAAAATTTCAAATTTCGTGTGTCATGTGGTCAGAAGGTGACAAATTTTGATGGAAGGTTTTGTTAAAATGTCAGATTTTTATGTCGTTTTTGGTCAAAAACTAAAAACTTTTGACAAAAAAGTTTTGAAAAACTATTTTTCAAAACTGTATCTTTGCCTGCATGTTTCTCATAAAATTAGTGTACGTAGAGAATGTTTTTACAAACTTTTCTGTTTAAAACTTTTTGTCAAAATGTCAGTTTTTTGGTCGACATTTGGTCAAAACTTGGTCGACGGGTCTTCGGACCGGGTCTCAACCCCGGGAGACCCACTTGGTCGACATTTGGTCGAAACTTGGTCACTTAGACGTCACTTGGACGTCACTTTTTTAATTTCTGCACGTAGAGAACATTTTTCCAAAATTTTCTGTTTACAATTTTTTGTTAAAATGTCAGTTTTTTATGTTGTTTTTGGTCAAAAACTAAGAACTTTTGACAAAAAAGTTTTGAAAAACTATTTTTCAAAACTGTATCTTTGCCTGCATGTTTTTCTTAAAAATTGTGCACGTAGAAAACATTTTTACAAATTTTTATGTTTAAAACTTTTTGTCAAAATGTCAGTTTTTCATGTCATTTTTGGTCAAAAACGATAAAATATTGACAAAAATCTTTTAAAAAATCATTTTTAAAAAGTGTATCTTTGCCTGCATGTTTCTCATAAAATTAGTGCACGTAAAGAACATTTCTACAAATTTGTCTGTTTAAAACGTTTTGTCAAAATGTCAGTTTTTAATGTCGTTTTTGGTCAATAACTAAGAACTTTTGACAAAAAGTTTTGAAAAACTATTTTTCAAAATTATATCTTTGCCTGCATGTTTCTTATAAAATTAGGGTATGGAGAGAACATTTTTGGACATTTTTCTGTTTAAAACATTTTGTCAAAATGTTAGTTTTTCATGTCGCTTTTGGTCAAAAACTAAAAAATTTTGATGAAAATGTTTTGTAATTTTTTTTTCAAAATTGTATCTTTGGTTGAATGTTTCTCATAAAATTAGTGCACGTAGAAAACATTTTTACAAATTCTTCTGTTTAAAACTTTTTTCCAAATGTCAGTTTTTCATGTCGTTTATGGTCAAAAACTAAGACATTTTGACAAAAACGTTTTGTAAAATTATTTTTCAAAACTGTATCTTTGTTTGCATATTTCTCATAAAATTAGTACTTTTAGAAAACATTTTAAGAATTTTTTCTGTTTAAAACATTTTGTCAAAAGGTCAGTTTTTTATGTCGTTTTTGGTCAAAAACTAAGAAAGTTTGATGAAAGCTTTTTGTAAAATTATTTTTCAAAATTGTATCTTTGCCTGCATTTAACTCAAAAAATTAGTACAAGTAGAAACATTTTTTACACATTTTTCTGTATAAATGTCTTTTGATATGATTTGTTTTATAAAATTTCAAATTTCATGTGTCATGTGGTCAGAAGGTGACAAATTTTGATGGAAGGTTTTGAAAGAAAAAAAATCAAAATTTTTACTTTTCTGCATGTTTCTCGTCAAATTAAAGCATTTGAAAAAAAATTAGATGCATTTTTTTTCAGATTTTTTTTTTATAAAATTTCAAATTTGGTCAGAAGGTAAGATGACAAATTTTGTGAACATTTTTGTAAAATTATTTTTAAAAATGTTTTATTTTCCTGCATGTTTCTCATAAAATTAGAGCATTTAGAAAACATTTTTAGAAATTGTTTTCTATAAAGTTTTCTGTCAAAATGTGAATGTTTCGTGTCATTTTTGTTTAAAAACTAAACAATTTTGATAAAAAAAAATTGAAAATATTTTCATAAAATAAAATAAAGACAAAACAGATTCTCCTTTAATTCACCCTAATATGATGGACAATCACATGTTCTGCCTGGTTTATATTAGTGTCTATAATGAAGACAACATCAGTTTCATGAACTCAGTTATTTTAAACACAGAGATGACGTGTTTCACAAAAATTCCTAAAAAAAAATGTTGTTACATACTCGTCAACCCAATCAGTTCTCAGCCCCTGTTTCATTTTCATGAAAAATTCAATAATTCCTCTTGTTTGTTTTTCATTTCATGGAGAAAAACCTTTAGTTTCCACCTTCTGAGGACAACCATCCCATTAAAGCACCAGCACCGGCTACAGCTGCAGAGGTGGTCGCTGAGACTCCGGCGGCACCTGTGGTCACACCAATAACCCTCTCAGTGTAAACAAAAGAACGCTGTGACACAGAACACGCAGCCCTGTGGTTGGAAGTGTCTGATTTTGTTCCTTACCGACTGACTGCAGGACGGCCACTGTACTCCCTGCTACCACGCCACCTCCGTTGGCCAACGCTGCTACCGACATCAATTTTGCACCGACAGATCCGGCTGCGACTCCAGCTGCGGTGAAACCTGCGGCTGACAGGACGACTGGTGCTGCAGCCAACGCACCCGCTGCACAAGCTGGACACGTGCAAATACTTTAGTGTCATTTGAAAAAGAAACTAAACACAACAAAAACACAAACGCACATATAAAAACATAGACTTTTTTTTATCGTACCTGCTCCGACGATTGTTCCCGTCACTGAAACACAAAGAACACATCGAATGTCAGGTGAACTGGCTTCATGTAAAAAGACAGAATTATGGATTTAAAATGGAGAGCGGCTCTCACCAGGATCCATGTTTTCCTTCTGCTCTGTCTGGTCTGTTGTCGGTGTTGGTCTCGGCTGTGGAGCTGCTTTGTGGTGCACTGAGGTTCTGCTGCTTATGAAGGCTCGGAAGTTGTTTGTCCAGGTTGTTTTTTTGTTTGTTTTGTTTTTTTGTATCAGCAGGTATGTTTGTCGAGAAATGAAACTGTCAGAGTTCCAACTCTGTTCACTGTTAAAGTGTCAGAACAGGTTTAAGGTTTTCTATTCATTCGAAACCTGAGATTGTGCTTGAACATAATTTTAAGTTAATGTGTATTAAAGTTTTGTGTTTTTTGTTTTG